AAAAAAAAAAACACAAGAAAAACAAATGATGAAAATTCATAAATTTCAGTCAAAACATAAATTAAAACATACACAACTCAAAGAAAAACTCCCGACTATATTAAATTTTCTCATCAAACTCAAGTATCTCAAACAATTATTCTTTTCAGATCTATTAAGTATTCACTTGATTTTTTTTATAGGACGTGCAAAATCGATGAAGCGCGATGGTTACAATGTATGGAATGTTGTTGGAATTTCGGATTAGGAATGGAATTTCAATTTCAATCCTTGTTGTGAGCATGTGATACCCGGTTTTGTGTAAGAACTCGCACAAACGGCCTTGGTTCGAACACAATAAAATGTGCAAACCTGCACCGACAGTCTTTATTTACACATTAATAAGTGAAAACCTGCACTATCGGCTTTGATTTTTAACGAAGAAATGACTCGGACTTGATTTCTTTTACAATCATAAGTACATGCATTTTTATAGCCTAAATCTACATTCAAATATTCAAATTGTAGCTAACATTTAACTAATCATTCCAACATTTAAATTATAAACTAACATACTAATCCTATCTAAATACTTGGCATATAAAACTAAAGTTAACTACTCCCGCCATCATCCACGTGATTCGATTTCCACTCGAAAGTCGGGTTCGCATCAAAATTGTTAGTCAAATTTTGAGATGACTTTTCTTACTTTCAGTAATTGATGTATTAGTCATACATTCAAACTATATATTTAAAATTTTATGTGATCTCTAATCTTGCAAACAACCAATTGCATCAACTAATTAATTGCCACGTGATAAGCACATGGGGTGACGACTTAATTTGAAATGTAATACAAACAAACACAAATAACTAAGTCATCCATAATTTTTCAAGATTATGTAGAAGTTGAAATTGTTAATTTAAGTTTGTGCCTCCACAATATGAGATATATGTTGTTAATTTGTTGTTCTTCTTTAGCATGACATGCTTTGTTGTTATACTTTGTAAGATTTTCGAGCCTATTGAGACAAGTTATTCAAGATAAATGTCCTGCATTTTTTCTCTAATTTATTCATTTATCTAAAATTCAATCATAGTAGTTAAATATATATAAACTTAATTAATTATTTCAAACGATGCTAAATTTTAATTTAATTATATATTAAATTTGAACTAGTTGTACGTGCAATGTGACTAATAATTAATATATACACACATATACAAAGCAAAAATATATAAAAGTGGGCCTAAGATAAGATCATACAAAAGCAAATTGAGTTGCAACTATCATATAAACCAAAATACATAACAAATCAAACCCTTACCGTATTTGACTCGCCTAGGTAACCCCCTTCTATGCTACATAAATTAATGGCGACAAAAGTTTCTGTGGAAAAAAATACTAATATGATATCTATATTTCCTCAAGCTCTCATTATATCAGAGTCTCAGACTTCGCCACTACTACAGTCAACAGTCCACACCACAGCCACTTTTCCACATGGAGCCTAAAAATCTTCTCTTCATCTTCCTCACAGCCGTTCTCATACTCCTCGTCGTCTCCAACCTCACTTCTCCGCCGTCCCACAAGGCGGATCTTCTGGACCGTGCCGGCGGGCGCACCTCCAAGAATGGCATCCACCCCGAAACCCCTTTCCGCCACCGCAAACCCGCCAATCCCACGCGCCTCCACTCCTCCGACGTGCCCCGCCACCCCCTGGACCCCCTTACCGTGACGGAGCTGAACACGGTCCGTGATATCATACGAAAAGACGGCGTCTTGGGGAACAGAGCCCACGCGCTCCACTCGGTGGTCCTCGAGGAGCCGGACAAGCAGGTGGTGCTGGCGTGGGAGAAGGGAGACCCGCTACCTCCCAGGAAGGCCGCCGTCGTGGCCCGCGCCGGCGGCGCGTCGTACTTGCTGACTGTGGACCTGGGTTCTGGTGAAGTGAACCGCCGGGGAGAGAAAACCTTGTCCGGCTACCCGACTATGACGATGGAGGACATGACCTCCGTGACGTGGGCCCCGCTGGCGAGCGCCGATTTCAATCGCACGGTGGTGGAACGCGGCGTGGATTTGGGTGACCTTGCTTGCTTGCCCATTTCAAGTGGATGGTTTGGTAAGATCAACAGTTGAAATTTAGACTGTAAAATTTTAAATAGATTGTTTTGCCGTTATTTGAAGTAGTAATCGATTGCTAGCTTGTCTTCCTCAAGGTTATTTTGTTTGTCTGCGTGTGTATGTGTGTGTTCTGGATTGTTAGGCAAAACTGAGGAAAAGAGAAGGCTAATCAAGGTCCAATGCTACACCATGAAAGACACAGCCAACTTCTACATGAGACCAATAGAAGGCCTCACGGTCCTCGTCGACATGGACACGAAACAGGTCGTGCAAATAAC